GCCTGCTTCCGTGGTGGGGGAGGCAGGCAGCACAGACCCCCAGGCTGAGCTGGGCAGGAGGGGAAGGCCCTTGTTTTCTCATCTCCAAAGCCGGGCACGGCAGTGGGCGAGAGGCAGGTTTGGGAAGGGACGCCGGCTTTTGAGGAGCGGGACCCACATTCCATCTGGGCTGACCGAGACAGGGCGCTGAGCCGGGAAGTGAGCTGGGCTGCAGCGGGGAAGGGGCGGGTGCCACTCGGGCCACCCATCCGCCCGTCCGCCCGTCCGCAGATGAGCAATGAGATCATCCGCCTGTGCTGTCACGCCATCTCCCTGGACCGTATCTTCGAGGGCTACGTCACTTCCAGCAAGGAGGACCTCCAGGGCTGCATCTCGTGCTGCCAGGCCTGGAAAGACCACTACCTACAGGCTGTGCAGATGCATACCCAGTACGCCGTGCGTCCCCCACGGTCCCGTCTGTCACCCCTGCCACTCCCGCTGAGCGCAGATGTTTAAAGCCTACGGATTCCGGTTCCGAGACCCGGTCCCAGTTCTCTCCGGACGCAGATACTCTAGTGCCTAGCCCTGGCTCCTCCTCTCCCTCGTCCCGGGAATCCTTCCTGGCTCACTCCTCCTTTCTTGGCTTTCTTGGCTCTCTTGGCCCGAAAGTCTGAAGTTCTAAAACTTCTAGAACGGAGATGCTTTGCCTCCTCTCTGCTTCTCCTCATCTCGCGTCTCCTCCCTTCAGGGCTCAGGAAAACTGCCTCTTGGGGTCCCCTTTTCTAAGGCCCCCCAAACCCAGGACTCCCAGTTGGAGCTTCGCGCAGGCCGTTTCCTACGTTTTCATCCGGTCCACCTTTCTCTGGATGTAGGTTCTCTAACCGGGGCTGGGTCCTGGACCAGACCAGCATATTCGCTCAGGTGGATGCCTTTGTGCAGCGCTGCAAGGACCTCATTGAGGTGGGCAGACTGTCAGGGAGGGAGGGGCGGGCGCAGTGGACCCCAGACCCCGGCCAGGGGCCGAGGAGACAGGGCAGAGGCTGAGCCGGGAGCTTACTGCTTGGACTCTGCATAACTGTGTGTCCCACCTCTGTCCCGTCCTTTTAGACTCTTGCCTGTTATCACTGCCCGGGTGTCTTCTAGTTCATTCTGCAGCCCCAATTCATCCCAGTAGCTCCTTGTGTCTGGTGGGTCCTCCCTGGTGTTTAGACATCTTGAGCCAAACCGAAGAGCTCAGGGGCTACGAGGTCAGAAACAAGAGCAGGGAGGCCTGACGCTCTCTGACTTCGTTGTAGGTCTGTGACTGCCAGTATCATTTTGCCCGCTGGGAAGACGGCAAGCAGGGTCCCCTTCCCTGCTTCTTTGGGGCCCAGGGGCCCCAGATCACACGGAACTTGCTGGAGATCGAGGACATCTTTCACAAAAACCTCCATATGCTGCGGGCTGTCCGCGGGGGCATCCTGGACGTCAAGAACACGTCCTGGCACGAAGACTACAACAGGTGAGAGTGCCTCCTTCCCCCCC